TATGACTGTCGGCTCTCGTTCTTCTCCCTGCTCGGCCATCAGGATGGCAGATATATAAATATCTGTGATAAATACCAATGCTCTGTGTGCAGCACAAACACTGGAGTGATCGGCTGATCACTCCAATGTTTGTAAACAACCGGGGACACATAGTACTATGTGTCCCCAGTTATGAATGAACAGGATGTGCTTTACATCACTTCCTGTTCATTCCTGAGTTTCTCAGTGGGTGGAAGCACTCACTATAGAGGCTTCTACCCATTGACAACTAGGTAATAGTAAATATTTTACTATCACCAGTTCCTGAATGAATAGGAAGCCTCTGTACTGAGAGCTTTCCATTCATTTAGAACAGATGCTGCAGAAAAAGAGATTGAGGACTCTGTGTCGTCATTTCTCCGAAGCCCCCCCAACAGTAAAAAAATAATAACAAAAAACAAATTAACCCCCCCCCCCCTGTCAAACAAAACATTTTTTATGCGATTTTGGATTTGGCCACCAGCGCATTCTGCTCATGCGCGTCGCCATCCTGGAGGCGGGGCGCATGATGTCACATGACGCCGCACGTGCGCAATGTTTTCTGTTCTTGCCTAGGGCGCAAAAAGAGCTAGCTACAGCTCTGGGACCGAGGATCAGGTGAGTATATTTAAGTTATTTGAGCCCCCTAGACAAAAAAGGAGCACTTAACCCTTGCAGTGCGGGGGTAGCCCCATTGCAAGGGTCAGTTTTTTTTCTTCCGGGTATTTTTCTTCAATGTAGCAACCGGTATTGTAGGCACTCAAAGGGCTTCCATAGGTGAACAAGGAGGACAGTATAGTAGCTTTTTTGCACCACCAATGGACAGCGAGATAAAGCTACTATACTGTATATTTTGCATGTTCTGAGTGGGTTTCTTCTGCGTACTGCGGTTTCCTCCCACACTCCAAAGACATGCTCAAAGGTTAATTGGCTCCGGTCTAAATTGGCCTAGTATGTGTGTGCAATAGGGATCTTAGATTGTAAGCTCCTTGAGGGCAGTGACTGATGTGAATGTAAAGCAGTGGCGTCACAAGTGGGGTGCAGGGGGTGCGGCCCGCACCCGGGTGTCACCATTGCAGGGTTGACACCAAAATGACGGACAGTCATTTTGGTGTTACCCCCCTCTAAAAAGTCGGGCTCTCGGTCATGGACCGAGAGTGTCAGGAGAGAGGAGGGGACCCGGTGGGATACTTCATCCCGCCGGGTGAACGTCCCCTCCTCTCTCTGCCGGCGTCCATCACAAAGATGGCCGCCGGCAGGCATCAATCAGATGTACGTGCATGTGCGATGATGTCATTGCGCCTACGCGAGGTGACGTCACGCGCACACACGATGACACGGCAGGGTGTCACCCGGTCTAGTGACCGTGTGACACCCGACCTCGGGACGTCCCTGATGTATAGTGCTGCGTAAATTATCAGCATATATAAATACCAGTAATAATTATATATATATATACACACCATATATACAGTATGTATAGTATATATATAGTGTGTTTGTTGGTTGTTAGTAAATTTTTCAACTAAAATAAGCTGTTTTCAGTATTTCAGTGGCGGTCTAGTCTGCTTGGAAGCACACATCTTCGCTCAGTGCCTGTAAAGCCAGTTTGCATTGTAGTTTTGTGTAGCAGTGAGCTGTGGACTTGTGTGTGAGGATGTGACTAGTCAACTGATGGTAACACAAGGCTGCACAGCCAGGAAACTGCAGCCTTATCAGCCAATCCGTATGCAAAGACGAGCAGTTTCGCACTGCCTGCTTCTGTCACTTGCACGCTTTCAGTGTGTGCATGATGGATGCCCAGAGCAGATTGACTATTTCCAGCCAAGACCCTCAGGATGTGTTTGAGCTGATGAACCGACTGGGCAGCGGGAGCTATGGAGAAGTTTTTAAGGTGAGTCAAACGCTGAAAGGGGCTTTCTGGCAGAAACGAGGCGATCTCGTTAACTCTCTGTAAAAGAGAAGTGATACCTAACTGCTGCTGCTCGGTATCTTTATAGAGGTGAGCTGCCTGGCAAAACATTACGGCACTTACTTAAAGTGTATCTAAACCCAAAAACAAAAATGTAATATAGATCCAATAATAACATTTAATAAAAGGACTTACTGGTCCTGGGATGTGGTGGCTGCATTCGTTTTCTTTTTTAGGTTATTTTTTACATGGTGATCCTGCCAATAACACACTTCTTGTCCTAGGGTGACAATACTCACTGATTTTGCTATATCTATGGAGGAGCAGTGCTGTCACCCCAGGACAGGAAGTGTCTACTTCAAAGGGAGGTGTTCTTTAGTCCAAGGGGTAATGCAGCTCTGGGCTGCACTCCATAGAGCATCATGAATGGTTTTAGCAGGATGGTGCTCGTAGTGACAGCATGGTGCCATGCAATGGAAGAGCAGACATCAACAGCACTTGCAGCAATTCAGGATCAACAATTAAAGTGATTTTATTTATCATATAGGTCAGAAATTGCCAACGTTTCAGGGCCTTGCAGGGTCCCTTCCTCAAGGTAACATAGTGACCAAGTGACATTTACTATGTCGCTTTGAGGAAGGGACCCTACGAGGCTTGACACATTTCTGACCTATGTGATAAAACCACATTAATCTTTGATCCTGAGTGCGGGTGACCTCTCCTCTACTACTGTAGCCCACAGAGTGAACATTGCTAAATGATAACAGTGCAGCAGGGGCAGAGAGCACTGCAAGCTATGAGCTCACACGATTTCTGGCAGGATCAACAGGTTCTTTTTACTACTACCAAACAGATAGAACAAAACCATTTTAATGGTATTCAAAAGACTAAAAGTGAGCTAAAAAGATACATTCATTGTTTGGGTTTACATACCCCTTAACAGAGCAATGCACACAATGCACTGAGTAACTTTTACTACTCCAGTAGTAAGGAGTAATCTAAAATGACTTTTCATTGGTTGCATGGGCTGCTGTGCTCTACTCATTGCTGTTTGCATGTTATATGTCCATTGAAGTGGAGTTTCATGATGGAAGTAATTCATGTTTGTGATTGTATGTTATTTGCACAGCATCACTTATATGATATTGTAAATTGTATATTTTATTACTACAGCACTTTCCTCTTTCCAAAATAAGCTCCTACTCTATCCATTCAGTTGGTTCTTCATAATTCTTTGCATTCTGTTCTTTTACTGTATTTAGTTCATAGTATCCTATTAACATCCTGTATGCCCAACTAGACTCACGGTAGTGCTTCACTTGTTGCCTATTATGAATGTGAAACTATGTTCGAGTATCTGCCCCCTATGTCTGCCCCAGGATCTGTTCTAGTTTCTGCTCCACTATCTGTTCCTGGTACAGTATATGTTCTTAGTATCTGCCCCAGTGTTTGTTCCAGTATCTGCCCCAATATCTGTTCTAGAATCTGCCCCAGTAATTGTCCCTGGTATATGTTACCAGTATCTGACCCAGTATCTGTTTCCAGTATCTGCCCAAATATCTGTTCTAGAATCTGCTTCCGTATCTGTATCTAATATACACTGAGTGGCCAGATTATTATGACCACGTTTGTAGGCAAATTAGCTATAATTTGAGTATTTGGCCCAGTATCTGTTCCCAGTGTCTTCCCCATTATCTCTTCCCAGTACCTGCCCCAATATCTGTTCTAGTATCTGTATCTGATATATGTTCCCAGTATCTGTTCCAGTATCTGTTCCCAGTACCTACCCCAGAGTCTGCCCCAATATCTATTCTAGTATCTACCCCTGTATCTGTTCCCATATCTGTTCCACTATCTGCCCCAGTATCTGTTCCCAGTAACTGCCCCAGTATCTGTTCCCTGTATCTGCCCCAGTATCTGTTCCCAGTACCTGCCCCAATATATGTTCCCAGTATTTGCCCCAAATATCTGTTCCCAGTATCTGCTCCAGTATCTGTTCCCAGTATCTGTCCTCAGTATCTGAACATCATTGCAAAGCTCCATTTTCCATTTTAGATCCTAAAGTCATCATCCTTAAAGATGGTCTCCTTTCCTGATTTACACCATTTTAGAGTAGATGAGAAAATATAAGTAAGGCCTCATTCACATGAACAGCAAGGGGGCGGTAAAACCAGACAGTTGATCTGTGGTTTTACGCCTCCCCCCCGCCGCCTACTGCAATGTCAACATTGTGGCCTGTATACATTGCTGCATACATTGCTGCTCGGCAAAAAATATACAGCATGTCATGTTTGATGGGCAATGCCGCTTGTCAAAAGTGACCATTGCAATGGTGCCGCAACCCCGTGGGTTCATGGTTGCAGCGCGGTATTGTAATAGGAAATTGCCATTAAGGAAAAAAAAATTGCAGCCTGGAGGCAGCAGTGTCACCTTCTGAACACCGGGGCAACCACTGCATCCACCACCCTCTGAAAAACCGATCCACTGCGGACTTAGCACTCCAGCTGTTGTGGAACTACAAGTCCCACGAGGCATTGCAGGACTCTGACAGACACAGGCATGATTCCCAGAGGCAGAAGCATGATTGGATTTGTAGTTTCACCACAGCTGGAGTGCTGAGGTTGCCTACCCCTGACCTCATTGACTTAAAATCTTCTATTACTTGCTTTATAGCACAGTAGCTGTGTCAACACATGTTTGGTCTGTGTTTTTTCTGGTGCTGCTTCCTATTGTTCACACAGTGTCAGCTGCAAAGTACACAAACACACACACTTTGTGTTATAGACAAATGCACAGATTAGTTTTCATACAGGAACTTATATCACATCCATTGACTGCCATATTTTAGGGACTTCTGGAACTTTATTGGCTTTTTTTTATGGCCCCCGGTACACCTGTGTGGTCCATTCACTTGCATTGCGGCAGTCCCTTCATTTTAATGGCCAGCCAATGCAGCACAACTGATGGAAAATCTGGATAGGAACCTTTATGGGTAATTTAGCACAACACGACATACAGTAATGTGCTACCATGTGGTCTTTAGTGCATCAGGTTGCCATTCAAAATGGTATGTTGTGATAACACGTGTGATAGGTTGATCTCTTTGCTGCCTACAACTAATAAAAAAAAGAAACTGATTTAGTAAGCCATCATCAGATACACAGCTATATATGTATCTAGTTGCAGTATTCTCCCCAAGAGTCCCCAAGTGTTGGGGTATTCTCCCCAAGAGTCCCCAAGAGTTGGAGACTACTGAGGAAGTACAAGCTCAATATGCTTGTGTCAAGACAGCCTGGGAGCTGTAGTTCCACAGCAGATAAAAGAATAGACAACCTATATGTAGACCCAGATGTGGTTAATGTATTCCCATAGGTTAAAGCTGAAATCCGGGATAAGCAAATATTGTCTAAATACATGTGTAATCTCTGGCTTTGCCAAGGCATTTGGTGCAGACAAAGTGGATTTATACCTGTTGTGTAGTAGAGAAGAAGGGAAGTGGCTTGCCTTGCTGTCTCTGTGTGCTTGTGGAGACACACACAGCTTACTAGCACACACAAGGGTGGCCCCATAGGACCCTGCAATGGAATGGAGTCACCCTGATACAGAATATCAGGACCAGTGCTCAGGGGACCAAATGATTCTACAGGAAACTAAAACTTTTAAACATCAAGGAGCAACATCCATTGTATGTGATTTGAAATTGCTTGAAAACATTTTAACTTTAATATCACTTAAAGGTTTCACTTTACATTTATGGAAAATGGTATGTTGGGACCCTCATTTCAACTGTGGCAGCGCTATATTACACAGAGGCAGGACCGGATTTACTCTCTCTGCTGCCCCAAGGCCATGCTTCTCAATGTGCCCCCCTTCTCGCCACCCCCCCCAATGGGGAATAACAACCAGATGGTGGAAGAGGCAGTGTTTTTATTTTATTTTAATTTTTTTATCACTTTTTAAATTTTTTTAAAATTTGTATTTAATTTTTTTTTATCGTCGAGCGATAGGAATTCCACATCCCTGCTGCCCCGAGGCCGGGCCTCAGTGGCCTTGTGGTAAATCCAGTCCTGCACAGAGGTAAACTATTAAAAGGTGACATTACATTGATAACACATTTAGGAGTTAAACAGCACAATTTCCTCTACAGATCTCTGCATCATAAAATAATTATACAACAAATATAATATAAAATAGAAATACAAGTATACACTGCAAAAAATAGACAGTTGGGGAGAAAAGAGGAACAGGGGGACCTGGCTCCAAAACAGGGACTGTCCCTTAAGAAGAAAGGGTTGGGTGCTATGCTTTTGCTATCTTTAAACACTCTGCGCCGTTCGTTCCACATGCTGTAAATTCAAGTTCTGTTTACAACAAGCTGCGGTTAATCTGCCTCAAAGGACACTTGATCAGGCTTGCTGACCACAGTGATGTCACCTAACAGGAACGGGTGTATTATTACTGTGTTGTGTTATAATGCTCAGGCCACATGCTGACTATAGGGTTCACCACCCCCCTCCTCCCTCCTCATCATGCATGCTGTGTTTTGTGGCTTCCTGTGCTGTACATGTCACAGGTGCATTCAGCAGCCTTTTGGCTTCCTGTAAAAGTGCGCACGTCTTGTGTCTTCTGACACTCTTTCTTGGGGTGAATAGCACCGAACAGCACATAAAGTCTGGGCCTGAGTTTGATTGCATAATAATGTACTAAGATATGAGCTCTACGTAAATAGTGACGTTGTGTAACATGGTGTTTTTAATCCCACTGTGCAGATCAGTATCTTAAATGACATTTAATCCATATATGACCTGTTTATGAGCTTGAAATATGCTTTCTCTGTTACAGTGAAAAAAAGGGGGGGGGGGGGGCGCACCATTAGGGAAGTGCTTAGGCTTGGTGCAAACCCATGCAGGAAGTAAGACCCTTGTCACTTAGTATGGATGCCAAAAAACAAAGTACCCCCAAGCCCATGCAGGAGGTAAGAG